GGGGGCTGCTTCCATGTTTTGCGTTGGCCGGCGCAGAAGCACTGATTGTAGCCACCTCATGCAAAAACTACCTGGAGCAGAGGCCGGTGTAGTAGAGGTATACCTGGAGGACGCGCCTCCAGGAGAAGCGGCCATTAACGGGGTTGCGGCCAGGCCAAGGAGAGAGGAAGAGGAGAGAGGGAGAGAGGGAGAGAGAGAGACAGAGAGGGAGAGGGAGGGTGGGGGAGGAAGGAGAAGGACCGGGACCTAACACACACCACAAACATATACTATATGGGGTGTGCGGGCACGGTCCCTAGCAAAAAGTGAACCCAGATGCCTCGTGTAGGTGTGCGGTAAGGTCGTGCGTATGTGTGTGTGTGTGTGTCCATGCGGGCGGGCACAGCGCTAGTGCGCCCGCCACCACGCCGCTCTCGCAGATAGCGACACTCCGCCTCAGCCAGCGCTAAAGCGCAAAGGCAAGCGGTCACACACAACACAGCCTACCCGCATCAACCCAAAAACACAAACAATTAATTTCTTTTATTTCTTCATGGCATTGGTGGGCAGGGAGCAGCGCGTAAAACAAACGCCCTACGAAAACCTTTCCAGCTTCCTGCGGCTGGTTTTGGCACTCTTTTTCAATGTCAAAATTTTCACCGGTTGTAAAAACGATCAAGACGGTTTGACGTCCCCTCACTGGTCACAAGATACCAAAATTTGGCTTAGTTTATGAGTAGGATAGCTGAAAGTTTTTACTATCAATAGAAGAGCGCCGTTTGATTTTACAAGTGTGCTGTTAACAGACTGTCAAACGTCTCAGTTCCTAATCCTTTCCCTGTTAGACTCTAAAAACACACAGAGACAGGAAACACAACAAAAACATTTTCCAAACACGGCCTGGGGGTTTGTTGTGAAAATTCCATGATCGATGAGCACGCATAAGACAAGCCGCGCTCTCCCCCGCTGTGCCAGAGGGGTGGGTTGGCTGCCACAAGGCACAGGCCCGGAGGGCGGAGTGCACGGTATTCAAAACCTATTCACCATCATTTTTCTCGATCCAAGAGTCACGCAACGGTATGACTCACGAGAAGAAGGAGCGACGTCGGCGGTGCGGCGGCGCTACAAGCTCCCTCACTCTCTCCCTCACATTCTCTTTCTCTCGCACACACCTGCTGCCCGATATGCACCATGCACGGAGGAGGGTCGGGCGTAAGCCACATATCTCCCGGGTCTCCTCCGCGGGGCGCGGCGGCGGCGGCGCGGGGGCGAGCTGATCTGGCCGGATCTGGCTTCAATTTGTACACGTCACCTCAGGACCTGCTGGTGGAGCTGGTGGCGCCCCGCCCCGCCACAACGCCGCCGCACCCTTTGCAGGGGCTTCCCCGCGGTGTGGGGGTTGACGAAAATAAATGTCTGTCCTTCGATTATTGCGGGGGCCTCGTCCTCGTCACAACAGACTACCCCCCCTCCACACCTCTCAATAGCCCTCCCCAGCGGGGGCGGTGGCCACGCCCCACCTGCGCGGCGAAAAAAAATGACTGTGCTCGACGTAGCAAGCCATACCGCAAATAATGTACCCTATACTTCAGGGCGAGACCAAAAAAAAAAATCAAGTTTTTGACGGCGCCCGATTTGTTATATCTGGTTTTGATTTCCCACTCCATTTCTTTGTTTCTCTATGATAGCGAGCAACTGCCATGCTAACTCCTACACCGGAAAACCCAAGTGTGTGTAAATCGCATACTTGGGTTTGAGTGTGAATGCCGTTCGTACGCATAGAGGCACAAGAGTGTACATTTCAAAGAAAAAATTACACTTGTATGCTCCCTTAAGTGTACAAATGGGCACGCAAGTGTGCGACATTAACACTTGCATTTCCAGCCTAGGCTAATTGCACCGGTTCAAAAACAGAACTTCCGTCTCAATGCAGAAGGTAATTGAATGGGTATTGTGAGAGAGGCCATACAATCAAACAGGTGGTGTAACATATTATCTCGCGCTATAAATAAGTAGCTACCAATCAGCAAAACGATTCATTAAAATAAAAAAGGTACGAGGTTGATGATACTCACTTCCACACAAGGGCCGTGGCGAGGCACACCATGGCGAGGAGCAGCACGGAGCAGAGGGCTATGACCGCCACCGACGGCAGCACCGGCGAGCTGTGGTACTCAGCGTCGACCACCTGAAGCAACAAGCAAACGCTGTTAAAAAAACAAATACAATAAACTTGGTTGGGATTCTGGGTCTACACACTCGTGTCGGTCACACCAATTTTTAATTTTTTGTTGAAGTGAAACGTTTTAGAATTAAGACATTCATGATAACGATATTAAATAATAAAATACGATTTTGAGTCAAGTC